CGTAGAGATAAAAGACATTTTTGCGATTTTTCGGATCCATAGAAAGCAAGGATAATAATGCAAAAAAAAATAATATAATTTGTAACAGCTCTTTAAAAATTAATATACATATAAAAGGCAATAAGAGCTAATTAAGTTCTGTTATTAATATTTATTTGTGGAAAAAAAATTTTAAACATAAAATATTAGACAAAAAAGTACGAAGGAACTCCTTTCTTTAAAGGAAATTTCTTTCACCGAAAACCTCCCTGTTTTTTAAATATCAAAGGGTCATATATGTAAAAAAAATCCCTCAACGTAGAAATGACGAATATTTTTATAATCGAATAATTCGTAGAGATAAAAGACTAGATTTTTGCGATTTTTTGGATCCATAGAAAGCAAAGATAATGATGCAAAAAAAAGTAATATAATTTGTAACAGCTCTTTAAAAATTAATATACATATAAAAGGCAATAAGAGCTAATTAAGTTCTGTTATTCATATTTATTTGCGGAAAAAAAATTTTAAACATAAAATATTAGACAAAAAAGTTCGAAGGAACTCCTTTCTTTAAAGGAAATTTCTTTCACCGAAAACCTCTCTGCTTCTTAAATATCAAAGGGTCATATATGTAAAAAAAAATCTCAACGTAGAAATGACGAATATTTTTATAATCGAATAATTCGTAGAGATAAAAGACATTTTTGCGATTTTTCGGATCCATAGAAAGCAAAGATAATAATTCAAAAAAAAGTAATATAATTTGTAACAGCTCTTTGAAAATTAATATACATATAAAAGGCAATAAGAGCTAATTAAGTTCTGTTATTAATATTTATTTGTGGAAAAAAAATTTTAAACATAAAATATTAGACAAAAAAGTTCGAAGGAACTCCTTTCTTTAAAGGAAATTTCTTTCACCGAAAACCTCCCTGTTTCTTAAATATCAAAGGGTCATATATGTAAAAAAAATCTCAACGTAGAAATGACGAATATTTTTATAATCGAATAATTCGTAGAGATAAAAGACATTTTTGCGATTTTTCGAATCCATAGAAAGCAAAGATAATAATTCAAAAAAAAGTAATATAATTTGTAACAGCTCTTTAAAAATTAATATACATATAAAAGGCAATAAGAGCTAATTAAGTTCTGTTATTAATATTTATTTGTGGAAAAAAATTTTAAACATAAAATATTAGACAAAAAAGTTCGAAAGAACTCCTTTCTTCAAAGGAAATTTCTTTCACCGAAAACCTCTCTGCTTCTTAAATATCAAAGGGTCATATATGTAAAAAAAATCTCTCAACGTAGAAATGACGAATATTTTTATAATCGAATAATTTGTAGAGATAAAAGACATTTTTGCGATTTTTCGGATCCATAGAAAGCAAAGATAATAATGCAAAAAAAAGTAATATAATTTGTAACAGCTCTTTAAAAATTAATATACATATAAAAGGCAATAAGAGCTAATTAAGTTCTGTTATTAATATTTATTTGTGGAAAAAAAATTTTAAACATAAAATATTAGACAAAAAAGTTCGAAGGAACTCCTTTCTTTAAAGGAAATTTCTTTCACCGAAAACCTCCCTGTTTTTTAAATATCAAAGGGTCATATATGTAAAAAAAATCCCTCAACGTAGAAATAACGAATATTTTTATAATCGAATAATTCGTAGAGATAAAAGACATTTTTGCGATTTTTCGGATCCATAGAAAGCAAAGATAATAATTAAAAAAAAAGTAATATAATTTGTAACAGCTCTTTAAAAATTAATATACATATAAAAGGCAATAAGAGCTAATTAAGTTCTGTTATTAATATTTATTTGTGGAAAAAAATTTTAAACATAAAATATTAGACAAAAACGTTCGAATTTTTTTTCCACAAATAAATATTAATAACAGAACTTAATTAGCTCTTATTGCTTCTTTTATATAATATGTATAAAAAAAAATAATATTAATATGTAGCACACAGACATTGTTAAACCGCATACACTCCCATTAAAAAATGCATTTTTTTCATCAGCTGGCAAGCTGTTTTGACGACTCCAACTGGAAGTAGTATAATATATGAACTTCATGATGTGCGTGTTTCGTCTATCATCAACGAGCATGGACGTGTTTCTCTGTACTTTATACACTGGACCGACGCGACGTATATCAGATCGGTGAATTAATAATCATACGTGATAATTATGCGGTCGGGTCCGTTAGATAAGCTCGTGGAATTCTACTGGACACTTTATACAGTCGCCACGTCAGACGATACTTGATATCCGCTTTAACGGCAGGTACGAGAGGTAGGAGAGACTCGGTTTATACATATGTATTTTTCGTCATACGAGCGATAGAGCAAGAAAAAAATTGAATTTGCAATTTATAAATAAATAATTAAGCTCTCTGAAATATATATATACATATATATATATATGAATTCGGCTCTCTATTTTTATTTCCTTTTCTTTAAGCTATGACCCTCTATTGTGCCTTATTATACTATACTATTATTACTAATACTATTATTTATAATAATAGTAATATTATTGTTATCATTATTATTATATATTAATAATTTATATTAATAATAATACTAATATTATTATTATTATTATTATTATATATTTTATTATTATTATTATTATTATTATTATTATTATATATTATATTATATTTATAATAATACTAATATTATTATTATTATTATATATTATTAATATATTAATTAAATATAATAAATTTAATATTAATAATAATATTTATAGTATATGGATTTTTCTAATTTATTAGAACGATCTAATATTTCTTATTTATTATGTATATATTTTTAACGATGGAAGAGACAAATAAAAAACAACGCATTGTTCCGTGCTATTTCCGTCGTCCAAGTTATCGGCGTTTCACGTTTCACGTTGCGGCTGTGTTTATCCACATGTTCATATTTATCGAACATATTCAATATACAGACAGGGAGAGCTAGAAATAAATTGCCGAGTCGCATCGCACGATTGTCCACTATGCAAAAAGAGATAAAAAAATGGTCTCGCGCACGTGTAGACGTCTCAGGCGCGTGATGCACGTCTCTTTAATTCTCGAGATTTTGATGAGAGAGGCGTCTCCCCATCGTTTTTTCCCCGGTATTCTTCCGTTCATCGCGGAATGCTCGCGATTGCGCTGCGCTTTCGCTGAGCGAGCACGGAAATGATTTCGATAAGGGATGAACGTGACACCGACCAGGCGAGAAGCACACGTAGACGTAATAATGTCAAATCACGGAGATCGGCACGTAATTATCAAAATATACGACGCATCGCAGAAATGCACTTGTGTATGTAGGTACTTGCTCCTTTTATTTTGTTTTGTTATGCGCGAGGGGTCTTTATACGGCATTTTCAAGAGATGAACAAGTTTTCTCTAAAGAAACGCGCGCGTGCAAAATTGTACATGTGCGAAACGCGAGTAATAAGATAGGCAGTTTTGTTTTCTTCTGAAATTTCAAACATCTCTCTATATATATTCGTGACAGAATTTCATGTCAGGAGAAGAGATGATACTCTTTTCGAGAGAGAGAGAGAGAGAAAAAGGGGAGGAATAAAAATAAAAAAGAGATATTTAAGAATGTCGCATTTTTATCTTCTATTATTTTTGTTGAGACGAATAAAATGAGTGGTCGAAAAAATTAACATATTTCATACCAATAAATCTAGTCATTTTTTTGGACTATAATGTATAGAAATTTGAATAATTTTGCATTTTTTTCTATTAAAAATAAAATTTTGTCTATTTTTCTCTTTCTCTTCTTCCTCATTTCTCTACGTTAAAATATATTTTATTTTTTTTTTTTTAACAATGTAATGAATTTATTATTTATTTACTAATTCATATTTTTTGGTATTAAAAAAGCTTTCAAAACTATAGAGTAAAACATTTGTATGATTGCAAGAATAAGGCAAGTTTGAACGTACGTGACGTACGTGCGATAACACAGTTAAATAGACTTAATGTTATCATCGCAATTTCGGTTCATTTATCGCGTTTGCCGATCGCAAGCTATTTTTAATCTCATTAATCGGCGGAGTGTCGGCTCTTTTGGGAAATTTATCTCACAAAATTTATCGCTATATAACTAGTGTCGAAAGAGTCCACAAAATTTTTTTAAAAGCTACCACATATTTTCTTCATCCTTTTTACTTAAAAATTAAAAATTAGCAATTTTCAATTATTGCCACACATGATTTTAACAGACACATTTTATGATTTTTTATTATTTTATTTTGCGCCATATATTTATATTTTATATATTTTCAAGAAACGACGTGTTTGTTAAGACACTGTATGTTTAAGAAATAATTTCGAGAATTATTCAATATGATTTTAATAGTTATTTATGCAATTTTATTACTTTATTGTAATTAAATGATTCTGTCTAAATTACGATTTTTTGGCAAAAGCAAAACTAATTTTCCCCTAATAAAGCGATCTTTTCGCTCATGAAAAACTTTAACTTCAAACGATTTTTATAAATGTTTATTGCTCACAGTATTTGCGAATTTAATGACAAAAGCATATGTAACAGCTTGCAGACTTATTCTATTGATCTAATTGTTTGGAAAGTTTTCTGGTACTTTTCCTATAAAATATATTCATATATATTATTTGTATTTATATTTTCTCCTAGGATAAAAATATAAATACAATAAAAATAAGATACAAGGAGCAACTTTCTCCTTAGAATATAAATAGATATAAATAAATACAAAAAAATATCAATAAAAATATATATAAAATTCAAAATATTTTAAATCTCTCAGATTAATTGGATTAATCAAATATACATATAGACATTAGAGAAAATCGTATAAAAAATAAGAGAGAGAGAGAGATAGAGTAAAAGAGGCGATCTGTTCTGACCCAGTTTTCTTCGTCGACTCTCGTGCGAAATTTTTTGTCACGCTGAACTTTCCTGTCTCGGCGAACGCTAATCGCTAATTTCGCTGTTCTTGGATTTTCAGACGCCTGTCTGCGATGCCAGGCGGAGAGCAAGAAGGAAGTTTACGGACGACAGGATTGCGTGGTCGTCTGGGGCGAGTGCAACCACTCGTTCCATTATTGCTGCATGTCGCTCTGGGTCAAACAGAACAATCGTTGCCCGCTGTGCCAGCAGGAATGGTCTATCCAACGAATGGGAAAGTAATCCTTCGCGTCCAGGATTATCCTGCCGTCGAGAAAAGCACGCGTTCTCTCTGTCGGTCTTTGGATTCGTTTTTCGAAAGCCTCCGATGGAACTTGGTAATGATATATATAATGTGTTTTATACGAGGGTGTTATTTTATAGTGATATACATACACGGAAAATAATTATTATTATTCATAATGTTTAATTCAAAATTATTATATTCTTAATATGAGGAAATGTAATGTAATGGTTTTTGAAGAATTTGTAGATTATAAAAATATGAGAGAGAGAGAGAGGGAGTTATTATAAAAAGGCATGTTATTTTTATCGTTTTATGATTAATGCAATTAGATATGACTCTTTATTCAAATAATAATTATTGACTGCAGGTTTTATTACGCTTGTATTAACGAGTAGGCTTTTGGAAAATTTGTATTCAATTTTTTCTTATTTGGAAATTATATTTAAAATAAATTTAAAATATATAATTATATTTCAAATAAAATTCGAATAAAATTAAAAAAAAATTTAAACATTTATATTGTATATGGTAAATTCAAATTAATAAAAGTGATTCTTAAAACATTCTTACGTTTCAAATTTCTCGTGTAATGTACTCATATAATTCCCCTCTTGCATGTGATTAATATTTATAAAACATAACTAAAGGTAAAAAGTATGACAAGAAAAAAGTTTAAATCTATTTTTAATCAACGTCAATTCTGCTGAGAGACAAAAAAATCGCATATAATAATGATAATTAAATTATGAGAATAATATAACAGAATTATTAATTAGCAGAGAATGACTTTGTTTTATATTAATATATTATATATTTGTTTGTATAATTTAGTTTTGAAAATTTTTGTAGTTTATGAATTGTATAAAAGCGATTTTTATATACTGCAAAATTATCTGAAGAAGACGACAGATGACAGATGAGACATGATAATGATTCATCGATCGTGAAATATTCGGAAGCATTGTAAATAAACTGAATTACGTGATGGATCAAAGATTATTTTACAGGTGTCAAAGTACAAAGTACGTCGCGCGATTTCAGAATCAAAGATCGGCATAATTATCTCGAAATCGCTGTTATCATACAGTACATTGTCTAATTTTATTTTCTGCAGACGTCATGGAAAATGCGAATTATCGAAATGGACATTTTATGAAAATATTATCAATGTTGATTTTATAATACGAATTTTTTAAACCAACTCCTTATCCCATTCTCTCTTTTCAGCTCCACAACAAGAATTAAAATGATTATAAAAGAACGAGAATCAAAATGGAAGAAATTATTTTCGATTTATTAATTAGTTAAATTATGGATAATTTTATTTTGATTATTTGTCAATTGATGATTAACGACATTTGTTCTCTTTGAAAAATACGCAGATACATGTTCCTTCATCAAAGTATATTTTTAATTTACCTTTCCAAGGTATTAATTTTTGGTTTTTAGATTCAGATCGCCGAAAGTTCAAAATAAAAATTTATCAGAGAGTTTTATTTTTTTTTTTAAATCGCACTCGCGTAAGTATTCCTATGAAAGTAGGAGGAAAAAATTTATAAAGCATATAGGAAAAAAATTCAGTGAAATCTTATTGCGATAATCAGACATAATGAGACATAAGATGGAGGAAAGTGTGTTTTCACTGAAGGTTAATGAAATACACACTTCGGTGAAATCTCGTACCATTACTTAAATCAGGTTCATTGATTCAATTTAAGAGAGTGTAGCAACTAATTGAATTAAGCGATGGCGAAGGCTTGCTAGCGCTTTTCAATTTACGGGATCAACTACGAAATAGAACAATGATCGTTTATATTAACAGGCGTATCGTAACTAGACATCCTTGACGACGTCAATTTATTCTTGATCTTATCCGATAATAAAAATTTATGGTTCCGGCGCCGACGTCTCTTGATAGAAAGCGACGAGGGTCAACAAGCTAGAAGCACCATTGCGACCTCTCTTTTCATTTCAATTTCGAATGTAGAATCGATTCTGTCCGGCTCACAATTGTCTGATTGTGAGTAGAGATTCTTTAAACCTATATAGACTTTGTCAATTATTTCACCAGAATATTTCATATTTTTATCGATTTAACAATCAATCAAAAGAGAGGTCGTAATGGTACTTCTAGCTTGTTGACCACCGTCGCTTTTTTGAAAAAATTGATGTAACAATACACCTTACACTTGTTTTGAAAATCTCTATATTTTAGTGTAAATTAGAATTTATATTAAAAAAAAATTCACATGAGAGCTAATGATAATAAACTGGATAATTATAATTTCATACATTCTGTTATATACTATATATGTGCATTTATATATTATATGTTATATGTATAATATTATATACATATATGTATAATGATATACAAGGTATATTTCTAAATAAGTGCGAAAAATTTTAAGGGATGGTTCTTTGTCGAAAATTGAAGGATTTTTTGTAATCATAAATTCTTGTATTCCTCCCTGAAAAGTTACACTTTTTTAAAGGGGAGGTAAAAATTAAGTATTTTTTTCTTCAAAATTATTAACTTTACGAAAAAAATAAAACACATAAAAAAGTTTCTAAAGGAATTAAACTTTCCAACGCATATTTTTAAATGATCATATTCCAGTTCGTTAAAAAGTTCTGATAAAAATTAAATAGGGGTTGTTAGTTTCATCCCCTTATAACGATAAAAAATGAATGATAATATCTATCAAGTTTCATTTTTTTAATTTGTCTGAAATTGAGAAAAAACATAACTTAATTTTTACTTCCCTTTTTAGAAAAGTGTAACTCAGAAGGGAATATAAGAGTATGTTTCTATAAGAAACCCTCCTTAATTTTTGACAAAGAATCATTAACTAAAATTGTAATTAAAAAAATTAGATTGACTTATTTTTCGAAGACACAAGTATTTTTTTTTCAAATGTCTCCCAAATGTATTTTTCAAATTTTATTTTTGTAAACCGTAACTCAAAGTTTAGAATCACTCGATATTTCTATTTCTATCGCATATTCTAATTTTGTTCTTTTTTAAAAATGCAATATATAATAATTTCCTTCTGAATAGAAACTCATCGAAAGATTTGAGATGACGTTACGCTACTCTGCGTGAAATAAATTTCATCTTAAAATCAAACGCAAATAATCTTCACGCAATATTATGTCGAGATTCGTAATCGCGCGATCATTTTTTTTTTATTAGATTCTGCGAAAGCTGAGACAAACGTACGAAGAACATTCCTCGCGTGCTACGTAAAATGACAGATATCGCGTACGAAATGACATCATGAAATTTGTGGCCTCTGTCGGCCGCGCGAATTTATTAATCACGCGATCGAGAAAATCCTTCGCAGCCAAAATTTGATCGCGTGAGTTCCTTTTTATGAACTAACTAAATTTAGAAATTTTAACATGTAAGGCGGCTGATGTAAGTGTTGCAATCTTCCGCGAAACGATAGTCAAATGAGCGACGGTGTTGAATGTCTGTGTGTGTATATGTGTATGTATGTGTGTGTATAAAAGGCGCCGACTCGCCTCTTCAACGCGATTGGTCCGGCCTCCGGACGAGCCTCCGCGACAAAACATCGCGCGAGTGACGATGACCTTCAAACGATCCGCCGCGCGAGTAACGTTATGCGCGACATAACTCGCGCGAGTTGATTAGCGTTGTTGCGCAACACAAGGATAATTTTTGTGCCGATAAATCAAATTTTTAGCGCTTACTCACTTGGAGGCACGTACAGGTACAGTCGGAGTAAGCAAAGTTGCCCGTAAAATTGGCACTTTAAAAAAAAAAAAAAAAAGAGTTCCTTATTAATTCCATCTCACATTATTCGATCAAGAATTAGAAACCATCCATAATTATTTATTAAGAAAAATTGATCAGAGATTTTCTGTATTTTATTCTACGTTTTATTTTTTTAATCGCACTCGTAAGTATTCCTACGAAAGTAGGAGGAAAATATTTATAAAGCACACATAGGAAAAGTGTAAAAATTTATTTCGAAAATTAAATCGATCGTGAACGTGACAGTTTTGCAAAAATGGGTTCAAGCAAGAACCAATTTTTAGAAGATATTTTTTTAAGTATGACGAATTCTTCATTCGAGCAGAACTCCTTTTGTTAAAAAAATATGCAATGATGTTAAATCACCGAACGTATCTCGAGCACAAATTTGCACTTATTTCTAGAGACACAAATGAAAATTAAATGTATAATAATATGAAATTTTATTCATACAAGTTACCCGTGAACAATACTGGAGAACACAGCGATTCCAACACGCGGCCGTCGATTTGAAGTGATTTTCGCGGTAACTGCAAAAGTTGGAGGCGCGATTACTACTTATATATTTTTTTCGAAAATCACCGTTTACTTGTAATATCCGTGGAAAAGAGATTATCGGGAGAACATTGTATTAATCGATTTAAATCTTACATAAAACCTCCCGCATGCTATGCTTGTTCGTTATTAATGTTTCAACTCTTCCGGAAGATCCAAGGTCGCTTATGCAACGGTTCCGTTCGTTCGATTCGCGTCGATATATCGTCGTCGACGATATATTTTAATCGCGAGTCATCTATGATCGTCACGCGACCAAGAGGTCAAGAACAAGAATGATACGTCATCAAGAGAGAAAAAAAATAGATGTATACTTGGGGTCTCGTGAGTCTGAGTTGATTAACTTTCAGCTACTTCTTTCATCAATTGTGTTCTTTCGCGGTTGCCGATTCTTGGCTCGCTATCTAAATTTTTTAAGTACCAGAATCAACATCTCTCTTGAACTAAATCAGTGAAAACGTCACTGATTAAAGCAATGATACGTAAGAGTGATTCACTGATTTCAGTGGAAATACACTTTACTCCTCTGTTCTACTGATTAGAGCAATAAAAGTTCTTTGAAATATCATACATCTATATATATATATATCTGTTTTTTGCAAGATGTAGATTTTTTAAAACTTTTCCCATTTATTTTGGATTGCTATTTTAAAATCCCACGGATCACGTTCAATAATTCAAATCATAAATTATTTTAAAATGTAATAACTTTGCAAAAAACGAACAAAACTCTTGGTTAAACTTCTTATAAATTTATTTCGTATATCTGATATTGTAATATAAAAATGCATTGAAATAACACACTGATTTCAATCCAGAGGTTGCATCGATGGAAACAAAAAATGTATTTGTACATCGATAAAATTT